CATAAATGCTTAAATTAAAACACACAGGTTTACAAGGGAAACTGATTATATCAAATTGCAGTTATGTAAGTATTAAAGCACACACATTTTCATTTTAGCAGTATGTAAGCTTTCTAAAACTAAAACATTAAACAACAAAATTCAGCAAAGTATCTCATAACTGTCATCTTTTCAAATTAGGGATGAGTTATTCACAATAACTGAAATATGATTTTCAAATACTTGAGAAACTTGTCAATGTGTCTTGGTATTGCTCTTCAACCAGTGCAAATTTAATTTCGTTTCTTTATATTAACTCATATGACCATTTAATATCAGGTTTTCCTTTTAGCCAAAAAGGCAGTCTTAGGATGGTGATTTCATTTCAGGTTTTCAAGACACATATGATAGAAAATTAAACAAGGAACATAACTACAATCTTTGCCTGAACTTGCTTATTTTATGAACTGGAATAAAAATGCTTATTATCAAACATTAAGTATGGAGCATCTGAACTCCTTGGATGGAATACTTAATTTGAATGTACCCAGCCTTGTAAATAGATTTTAAAAATTAATTGACTCATACAAATTTGTTACTAACCTTCTCTTTCCCGTGGCGACTAACTTCTAGTAAAGTGGATGAAATGGATATTTATTTCTACTTCCATCTCAGATATTCGTGCTTACAGAGGTTGAGCAGATCACTGTCTATTAACTGATCTAGATCTATTATAATTCACTGAAGTGCTGTGGGAAAACAATTCCCATTAGGATAGAATATAGATTTAGGATCATTTGAGGCTCGTGAATTTGGCCTAAGTTTTAAAGCAAGAAATAATAAAAAGATTTAGAGGACAAGGTTTCTGTATCAGGAATGTTATTCTCTTAAGGGAAATCCCTAGATATAATGATGGTCGGGGGCTAGGGGGCAATTCCAGTCTACAAACTGGGTTCTTTTTATTCTGACTATTTTACTCTGAAGCTAGATAGAAACAAAAGCACAAAAGAATAAAATAAACACAGGGTTGAGGGTCACATGTGTCCTCTCCTCATCACTGGTTAAATAAGAAGAGTAGGCAATAGAAAATGAGGTGGAGAAAGGAGGGAGGGAGGGAGAAAGAGAGAGAGAGAGAGAGAGAGAGAGAGAGACGCTGATGCAGTAAGTCCTCTCTGCATGACTTTACAGAGATACTCTGGCCTCAGTTGATAGGGAACAGGGCCCAGGAAGATTTTTCAGGGAACCCTGTGGTGTTCCTGAAGGTTCCAACGTTGAATATTTTCTTGAAGCTTATACCTTTCATGAGGGCTTAACTCTGTCATGAGGCTCAATATCCAACTGTATCCAGTTATAGCTTCAGTTATCCCTTGAGCCACACAACCCTGTTTTTCATGCTCTATTCTCTCTCAGTAAATAGTACACATGTAGCACCACAGACGTGGTTTAACAGCCTGAACCCTCAACATATAATTTGAAAACAATTCTAGATAATGCTCACTCTGTTGCTGTCTTACTGGGTTTATCAAAGGAGCTTATGTAAGAACTAGAGGCCCGGTGAACGAATTCATGCACAGGTGGGATCCCTCTGGGTAGCCTGCAGGGGTCAGGCTGAAACCTGCAGTCCAATGCCACCTTCAGCTGCTACCTGTCGCTCCTGCTCATCCTGGCCCCACTGTGCGTGCCTCAGATTCACGCCCAATCAGCCCCGATCAGGAGAGGCTTGTGTTGCCACAGCAGCACTCGCCAGCCATAAGCCCTGTGTCTGGCACCCTCCCAAGGGGAGTGGCCTGGGGCATTGGGCTGAAACCAGCTCTCTGACATCCCCCAAGGGGTCCCAGATTGAAAGAGGGCGCAGGCAAGGCTGAGGGACCCCAACGGTTCACCATCAGGCCTGAGAGGGACCGTGGACGGATTCCAAAGCATGTCCAACCCATTTTGCTCAGTCCTGATTGGCTGGACCCCAGCAGCAAGTTAACCTACTGATTGGATCATCTGCCCCTTCATGGTCAGTGCAGGTCATAGAAAGCAGTTGAGCAGCCTTTGCATATTATTAGCATATTACACTTTGATTGGTTGTTTGTTTGTTCTGATGTTCAGTCTATTTGCATATTACCCTTTTATTATATAGGACAAGGTGGCAATATAAAACTTCAGAGACAAGACTTTTCAATAAATGAGTTAATAAAAGCAAGCCAGATTAGAGAAAAGAATGCAGAAGTATTTTAGGGTATATCATCTTAAAGGTTGGATATTGCCTATTTGGCTTGTCTAAAAATCATAAAACATGGAAGAAATAATGCACTAATCATTACATCAAGGTGTCAGAAATCATGGCATGCAATGAAAATATTAAAGGTGTATAATGGGAGTAGCCATGGCAAGCAGAGAGAATAGAAGAGAATTTGTACTGGCTTCAGATAGAATGCCCTGAACCAATTCCAAGATGAGGGTGAATAAGAACTGATCTTTGTGTAACTACTACATCAGACAAAGAACACAAGGGTTGATTGGAATGGGGTCACTGTGCCCTTTTAGGAACTTGCATATATGGAAAGCTAATACCTTTTGTCAGAGGGAAGCTATAATAGTTATGACTGAATAAAAATAATATAAAATACTATATTTATATAAAAATATGTATGTTATTTTTAAAATTTTAATTCTTTCACAGAAACATATTGTAGAATTTAAAATTGTCAGTTTTTGAGCCATGTAATTCTTCTGTGAAAAAAAAAATTATTTGTAAGGAATGTGGTTGACATTTGCAATGGGTATTTAAAATGATGTAGGCAAAATTACATTAAAAACAAACCTGTATTTTTATTGAGGTTGAATAGAATATATAAGATGTCTCAAAAAGATATAGATGTGGCTGCAGTAAAGGCAAAGTAGATCACTTAAAGTATTATTAATTTCATTGGATAGACATCTGGGGAAAGAAAAGACTAGATTCTATGAAATCTTTATTAATAACATTGAGGAGTACAACTGTTTAGGTTTCACAAACGCAAATGCTTCTGGCCACGATTTGAATGAGTGAAGCAGGCTGAGTGTGACACTAGTGATGGGACATTGGTCAAAAACTTGCCTGACCAAGACATTTAAGTTAAATTTAAAAATATTCATTCTGGCTAAAGAAATTCCTTCCCAGGAGCCAGTTTGTTTAACACCTGGATCTCTCAATACTACTTGGTATTTTTAAAATACTATACTAGTAAAGTAGTTTGTTTGTTTGTTTTTCATTTCATTATCTAGTACTAAGGGTAGCTCTTCTTTGGGAATATTTAATATCTTACCTAAACATTTCCAGGTATAAGAACTCTAGGAATCTTCACCCCAGTAGACTATCAGGAAGTGAAAAAGGATTAACTCTATTTTCCGAAAACTGGGCTTTCAAAAGAAGCAAATTGGTGAGATTAACCATAAAAAGCATTAGGTTGCTACTGATTAGTCTATATGGTAGGACTCTCTTTTTACTTTCTTTTCACAAAGTGCTTAATTATCCAAGTTATTTGTAAATAACTTAAGCTGATGCCTTGCCTTGTTTATAAATACTCAGGGTCTCCATTTTAATTGATTTTAATTTGTTACAAAGATCTTTCTATTAGACTCTCAAAGAATATTGAATAGATCTTGAAACATTATGGGTTTGAAAAATCGCATTTTACTTGAAAAGTGGAAAAAATTTGCTCTATGAATATTCAACTTCATATTTAAAATATTTGTATATATTATATTTAAAAGTATTTTTGAAATTGTATTATGCCTAAGAAAGATGGGGAGGGAGGTTGAGGCATCCATTGATTTTTGATTCAATAGCAAATGTGTATGGAGGACATTCAGGTTGGGGCAAAAGTTACACTTGTGACCACATAAAACAGTTTATTCTTGTAGTACTATTTATTAATTACTAGAGGCCTGATTCGTGAACTTCGTGCAAGAGTAGGCCTTCCTTCCCCTGGCTGCTGGCACTGTTTTCCCTCTGCAACCCAGGACCTGGGCTTCCCTAGCAGCCTGGCTTAGTCCGGAAGGTCGTCTGAAGGACGTCCGGTCTAATTAGCATATTATGCTTTTATTATTATAGATTGTATTATTTTCCATACAAACAACTGTACTATCTGCCTATTAGACATGGTATTCTCGTGTTATTGCTCACTCATATTTGTTCATAATGTTGTGCATTCTAGACAACTCTTAGTGTAAGAAATAATATCCTATCTCCTTATATATTTCCCTAGAGTTTCTTAATGTCCCACAGAGTTGATGTTATATATTCCTCAAATGTGTGGGAATATGCTTTTAAGAAAAAATGGAAAAAATTCCTTCTGTGTTTTTTTAAAAAAACCATATTTAGAAAAGTGGAATTGTGTCCTATCAAACCATCCTTTAGATTTAAATTCATGGAAAAACAAAAAGAACAGTAAAACTAGACCTTTTTAAAGGACTCAACCTTCTTTTTTTTTTACATTTCTTTATTGATTAAGGTATTATATATGTGTCCTTATCCCCCCATTTTTCCCCAACCCCCCACTCATGCCCTCACCCCCTTGTTGTCTGTGCCCATTGGTTATATGCATGCATACTAGTCCTTTGGTTGATCTCTCCCCCTTACCCCACCCTCCTCTACCTTCCCTCTGAGGTTTGATGGTCTGATCAATGTTTCTCTGTCTCTGGATCTGTTTTTGTTCATCAAATTAAAGTTATGGTGGTTTATAATAATTCCATGATAAAAAATGCTTTTGAAGCAACAAAAACAAGCAGTTAGATTTAGGCCAGCACTAGTCACACTTGGTGAGCATCAGAATCCAGAATCATAGAAGAGGGTTACAACACCGATTCCTGGCTCCATCCTGGAGGTTCCCATTCAGAAGGGCATGGGTGGAGCCTGAGCATCTGTATTTTGAATAAGTTCCCGGGTGACATCCATGCTGCTGACCTATGGACCACACTTGGAGTGGCATTCATTTAGAGATGCCCTGAGAAGCTGAGTTCGTGCTAACCATGTAAATTATGTTTTTCAGAAAAATATTCTCAACTGTTTCAGAAGAGCACAGTGTCCAGAATCCAATGTCAGTTCCGTACAGATACAAGGTGATGCGGATTATTTCATCAACTACCTTGGAGTTCCCAGTGTGCAATTTGCTTATGAGGACATCAAGTCACTACAGGTAATTATTTCTAAAATATGTAACCCCCCCCCCACACACACACACACACAATATAGCAGACATGCAGAATTTGATTTTATCCTGGCTATTTGTCTTTCTTATCAACTAGGTCACTATAGGAAGCTGCTTCATTTAGAGAGTTATTCTTATTGTTCAGAGGCTTTGTAACAGTATTTGAAAACATCAGTTCTTTTCAATAGTGTTGAATTCAATTTAAAAAGATTTATATTGTCACTCACATTTTCACAGTGTGCTTTGCAACAAGAAATTTGCAGTAGTTGGATTAACATCAAAACATAATTGTAATCTTCAGTATTCACAGAAACAGATGACATATGAAATAGATTCTCTTCTCCTTGCCCAAGGGAAAATGCATTTCATATACTGTATACTAATGTGTCTTGCGGATTAGCTACCCAAAGTATGTCAATAGTTTGCCTTCCTAAAAAGATACAACTTTTTTTGTGGAGATAGGTCCTCCCCCCACCCCCGCAAAGAATATCACATAGGCATGATTCACCATAATTAAGTCTGTGTTCATCCATCTATTGGACTGCGAGAATATTCATCTGTCTCAAAATTGTGTCACTGGAAATTGTTCTCTGTAGATATAAACCAGTTGAGATCTTTTATTTTCTTTTAACAAATTGTGCTTGCCTTTTGGGGAGTTCTTTAAAAGCCTCTGGGGTAGCCTGGTTGAGGTAATTTTTACATTAACTAAATAGTGGCTGGAAATAGAGTAAACCCTGCTTTGTTCCATAATCATGGATGTCCTTGAAAATTTCTATTTAAATTGTATTTATAGACTAAACTTTTGGTATTTAATGTCTTAATATCTATTAGCTTTTAGCAATTCTTAGTTTCTCTGCACATACCTTAGCTCCTTTGTAAACAGCTGATATATCTAACATCTTAAATTCATAGAGGGAGAAATTCTGGGTGAATCCTATTGTGATGAGATAAATTCTTAGGCAATACAAAAATAATATTTATGACTTATCTGTTTTTATAATTTTGGATTTTCATATGCTATTGTTGTTTGAACATGAGGTACATGTGTAGCGGTATCTTTTCTTTTAGGCAAATCCACGGTCTATACTTTAATAAAATCTATGTCTTAAAATATAACTCATTTTTTATTTTTCTGCTTGATATTTTATAATATCTCTTTATCATTTTCCCATCTCAACTCCTCCAACTCCTGTCATACCAACACATTGAATGATAGCTTTTATTCAATATAGGTCTGATTCATCTTGGTTGAGTTTTAAGCCAAGAATTTAGAGAAGCAATATAGTATAGCCTTAAGAATGGGACTAATAGTTGATTCCCTACTCTGATACTTACTTGATACTTATTAGATACCTGATTTAACTTCTTTCAATATTATTTTAGAAATGAGGAACCATATCATAGTTATGCATAGGATAAATGACACTATGCCTATAAAAAACATAGCTAATATTGAACATGCAATAAAGCCTCTATCAATCATAGCTATCACAATTGTTATTGCCCAATTTTAGTTCCAAAATATTAGTGGGAGAATTTCTAAAAACAATTAGGTAAGAACATATTAGTAGAAGGGAAGAGAGAGCTTGTAAACTGTTAAGGACAACAAACTTCTGAGGTAGAATAGGTAGCATTTGATTAGGCTCAGCTGGAGGACCTGAGGTGTCAATAGAAAGAAGATTTGGAAACCAGTATTAATGAAGTTCTCAGAAGGTACTATTATCACTGAAATACTTTAGGCTAAAGTATACCTACTGGCTTAGTCTAAACATCAAGTAGTTTTTCAAATTTTACACAGACTATTTAACTTTCATCAACAAAATCATAATCCTATTAAATAAAAGAGAAACATAGTAATTAGCATACGTCCGCTACCCTTCCCTTTGGCTAATCAGCGAGATATGCAAATTAACTGCCAGCCAAGATGGCGGCCGGCAGCCAGGCAGCTTGAAGCTAACATGAGGCTTGCTTGCTTCAGTGATGGAGGACTCCAATGTTCCCCGCCTGCCTTGCTAGCCTCTGAGCTTGCAGTTTGAAACATTGTTACAAATATAGAAGCTAAACAAAACCCCAGAAACCTGCTTTCAGCCCGCAGGGATCTCAGAGCTAGAGTTGATACAGTGTTTTGATTATAGAACCCAAACAAACCAGATACCTGCTTTCAGCAGCAGAGGCCTCAGAGCTGGAGCCAGAGCTAAAGCTGGCCCAGAATAAAAAAAGAAAAGAAAAAAAGGAGCAATTGGGAGCTTCAGTCACCCGCCAGCCTGAAAACAGCCATCATCCCCTCACCCAGGCTGACCAGGCACCCCAGTGGGGACCCCCACCCTGAAGGGTGTGTGACCAGCTGCAAACAGCTATCATCCCCTCACCCAGGCTGGCCAGGAACCCCAGTGGGGATGCCCACCCTGATCCGGGACACCCTTCAGTGCAAACAACCCAGCCCCCACCCATGTACCAGGCCTCTATCCTATATAGTAAAAGGGTAATATGCCTCCCAGCACTGGGATCAGCGGAGATGGGAGGCCTCCCAGCACCGGGATCAGTGGAGCTGAGAGGCCTCCCGGCACCAGGATCAGTGTGACAGGGGGCAGCGCCCAAACCCCCTGATTGTCCTGTGGCTCTGTGTGTGACAGGGGGCAGGGCCACAACCTCCCTATCTGCCCTGCTCTGTTTGTGACAGGGGAAGGCGCCCCAACCCCCTGATCAGGCCTGCTTTGTGCCTGATAGGGGGAGCTCCCCAACCCCCTGATCGCCCTGCGGCTCTGTGTGTGACAGGGTGTGGCACCCCAACCCACTGATCAGCCCTGCTCTGTGTGTGACAGGGTGCGGCGCCCCTCCCCCCCCCCCACACGGGTCCTGCTCTGTGTGTGACGGGATAGAGCCATAACCTCCCCATCGGCCCTGTGTGAGAGTGGCAGTGCCCCAAACCCCTGATCTGCCCTGCTCTGTGCGTGACAGGGGGGAGCTCCCCAACCCCCTGATGGGCCCTGCTCTGTGTGTGACATGGGGCAGCGCCCCAACCCCCTGATGGGCCCTGCTCTGTGCATGACAGGGGTTGGCGCCGCAACCTTCCCATCGACCCTGCCTTGAGTGTGACAGGGGGTGGTGTCCCAATCCCCCAATCGGCCCTACCCTGAGTGTGACTGAGGGTGGCATCGCAACCTCCTGATCCGCCCTGCTCTGTGCATGGCAGGGGGCGGTGCCCCAACTCCCCAATCTGCCCTGCTCTGAGCCCGACCAGGGTCTGCACCTAGGGATTGGGCCTGCCCTCTGCCACCCGGGAGCAGGCCTAAGCCAGCAGGTCGTTATCTCCCAAGGGGTCCCAGACTGTGAGGGGGCAAAGGCCGGGGTGAGGGACCCACCGTCCCCCTGAGTGCACAAATTTTTGTGCACCGGGCTTCTAGTATATAATGAAAGGCTAATATCCAAATAGACCGAACGGCAGAACGACTGGTCACTATGATCCGCCCTGACCACCTGGGGGCAGATGCTCAACACAGGAGCTGCCCATTCGTGGTCAGTGCACTCCCACAGGGGGAGCGCCACTCAGCCAGAAGCCAGGCTCACGGCCTCTGTGGCAGTACTAAGGATGCCCGGCTGCCGGCTTAGGCCTGCTCCCCCAGGCCTGTCAATCAGCTGGGCATCCCGCGAAGGCTCCTCGACTGTGACAGGGCACAGGCCAGGCTGAGGGACCCCCCCTCAGTGCACAAATTTTGTGCACCAGACCTTAGTCTGTCTATATATGTCTACACTAATAAAAGACAGAGATGCTAATTGACCATACCTTCGCTATGCCCTAAGCCATGTCCACCAGCCGATCAGAGCGACTCTATGCAAATTAACCCAACCAATATGGCAGCTGGCAGCCACAGAGCTGGAGCAAGCGGGAGGCTTGGTTGCCCGGGTAATGGATAAAGCCAAGCTTCCCTCCAGCCCTGAGCCGGCTGAGGACTCTGCTCATGGCAACAAAGTTTCTATTATAGAAGACAAATAAATCCCAGATACGTGCTTCCAGCCAGCCTCCACTGGGAGCTTGGTTGGCTTGGGGTTATGGCCAGCCTGCAAACAGCCATCAGCCCCTCACCCAGGCTGGTCAAACCCTCATGCGGTGAGGGTCACTGTGGGGGGCTTAGCCAGCCCGAAAATGGCCCTTAGCCCCTCACCCAGACTGGCCAGGCACCCTAGCAGGACCCCCCACCCTGAAGGGGCTGTGGCCAGCCTCCAAACAGCCATAAGCCCTTCACCCAGGCTGGCCCGGCACCCCAGGGAGGACCCCTACCCTGAAGGGGCTGTGGCCAGCCTCCAAACAGCCTTCAGCCACTCACCCAGGCTGGCCACACCCTCATGGGGTGTGGGTCCCTGCTGTGGGCCTTGTCCAGCCTGCAAATAGCCATCAGCCCCTCACCCAGGATGTCCAGGCACCCCAATGGGGCCCCCCACCCTGAAGTGGCCGTGGCCAGCCTTCAAACAGCCATCAGCCACTCACCCAGGCTGGCCACATCCTCATGGGGTGAGGATCTCTGCTGGGGGGCTTGGCCAGTCTGAAAACAGCCATAAGCCCCTCACCCAGGCTGGCTAGGCACCCCAGGGGGGACCCCCACCTTGAAGGGGCTGTGGCCAGCCTTCAAACAGCCATCAGCCCCTCACCCAGGTTGGCCAGGCACTCCTATATAATAAAAGGGTAATATGCAAATTAACCCTAACAGCAGAATGACTGGGAATGACTGGTCCCTATGACACACACTGACCACCAGGGGGCAGATGCTTAATGCAGGAGCTGCCCCCTGGTGGTCAGTGCGCTCCCACAGGGCTCTGCTCAGCCACAAGCCAGCCACCGTACAGCGGTGGTGGTGGGAGCCTCTCCCGCCTCCTCAGCAGCAATAAGGATGTCCGACTGCAGCTTAGGTCTGCTCCCCGCTGGCAAGTGGACATCCCCTGAGGGCTCCCGGGCTGCCAGAGGGATGTCTGACTGCCAGCTTAGGCCTGTT